ATTCTTCAACCAGATGCAGATCACCATTAAAATATCATTTTGCCACCCATCCAGTCAAAAGCAGCACTGAGCCAGGTATGATGGCACACACATATAATCCCAGCAGCTGGGGAGGCTGAGGCAGGAGGATCACAAGTTCAAAGCCAGCCTCATACTATCATACTAGCGAGGTGCTAAGCAACTCAGTGAGACCCTGTTTCTAAACAGAAATACAAAATAGGACTGGGGATCTGGAGCTGTGGCTCAGTGGCAGAGCAGTTGCCTCATATGCATGAGGAACAGGGTTCGATTCTCAGCACCACATATAAATAAATAAATAAATAAATAAAATCCATTGACAACTAAAAATTAAAAAAAAAAAAAGGACTGGAGATGTGGCTCAGTGGTTTAGTGCCCCTGAGTTCAATCCCTGGTACCTAAAAAAAATAAAATAAAAAATAAAAATAACACCAAAAAGAAAACCACTGACAAAAATCCTTGAAAGAATGTGAATTTTCTCTAAAAGTCAAAAGTATGGTAGTTAAGAAAAAGTAAAAGTATGGTAGTTAAGAAAAAAAGAAATCACAATATTTGGGGGTTTTCTTATGCTTATTGTATTTTTAATTACAGATTCAGGGCTGGATACTATATATTTGTTTTTTAATATGTAGGGCCTAAAAGTCTGGATCTGAGTCTATTCAGTTTCCAATAGATTTTGTAATAACTTCCATGAAAAATTCTTTCATGAGTCATAGATAAGGCTCAAATCCTAGCTTTGCCACATTAAAATGTTATACATGTGTTAATTTGCTTATAGAATATTATATTGTTCTTTAGAAACAAAATATAGAAAAATAACAGAAACATTGAAAGAGAGCTATCTTCTCTGACCTCTTGTAGATAAAAAAAAAAAAAAAATCCATCCAACTTTTCACATTTTCCTCTCCTTTCTACCGCTATTTCTAAGACCTGTTTCATAAAATACTTCAAGAACACATTGAAAAGAAAATCTGGAGCTCAATCTCTGGAGTTAGAATGTCTGTTTTTTCAAATAAACACAATCTGGCATATTAGTTAAAAGCGATCATTTTCTAAGGTTCACATTTCCCTTTTTATAATAGTAAATTAATTCCAATAATGAATGATGTTGATAATGTTATTAAAACCCACAATTTTACAATGCTTCTTATTTTCAAGCCCTTGCTTGCCATGTGAATGGTTTTTGAGTAAAAAGACTTGAGTTTGAATTCTGGCTCTACCTCTTACTAGCTATGTGTGCCTGAATAAAATCTTAATCCATTTCTTTACATGTAAAGCACCACCTACCTTCCAGTATTGTGACAATATGTAAATTACCTCACAGAGAGCTTTTTGTGTACTAGTTGTTCATTAAATAGAAGTATGGTTATTATTATAATTAGCTGTCATGTTTGCTGATATCTACTCATTAAATAATTTCACTATTTTTTTCTTAGATGTGTCATACATTTTTTTTTTCCTGGCTTGCCAAGCTATTGAGATAGGCTGGTGTGTGTTATACAATGTCTTTTGAATTAAAAAACAAAACAAAACAAAACAAAAAAACTCACTAGGCCAGGCGCAGTGGCACACACCTGTAATCCCAGCAACAGCAGCTTGGGAGGCTGAGGCAAGAGGATCACAAATCCAAAGGCAGTCTTAGGAACTCAGCGAGACCCCATCTCAAAATTTAAAAAAATAAAGGGCTGGGAATGTGCCTCATTGATTAAGCACCCCTGGGTTCAATCCCCGGTACACAAACCAAAAAACAAACAGACAAAAATCTCACTGGACTATCCTAAGATATACTAAAAAGAGGGAAAACTAGGCAGTTTTTAATTTTCAAATTCTGAAACATTTTACTGAACACCAGTCACGTGACAGTGAATTATAAAAATGCAACTTCTGCCTACCAATATCCTGATCATTTTTTAATACTTTTTTAGTTGTAGATGGACACACACACTGAGAATGATGCTGAGAATAGAACCCTGTGCCTAACACGGGTAAGGCAAGCACTCTACCACTGAGCTATAGCCCTAGCCCTATCCTAATGATTTATTCGCCCTGTCAAACTCTTTAAATTTCACCTAGTAGTCTTTTTCAATTTTTACAGGGAGAGTTAACTTCTGAACAACTGGTACATTTTAGTAGTTTTTCTGCTATACTTTTCAGCATAAAGACTCTAAATTTTTGTGTATTTGTTTTATATTCAGGTCACCAACTGGTGCATTGGTACCCACAAATAGCTCTCATGGTCTGGTTGCCATGGTCACACTTTCTCCTCAAAACCCACCAGCACATACACACCACTTCACATCACATACTCAGCTAGGTTCAACAGCACATATCCGTCTCCCAGCTCTGAAGAGATTCTTTCCAGAAATGGACTTGGAAGAATCTCAATAGATGGATCGATAGATAGATAGGTAGAAGGATGGATAAATAGATAGAAAGAAGGATAGATAGATACAGACATAAATATGCATATAAAACTGCATTTCACAAACTTTGAAAACCAAATTAATAAGTGATCATGTGTGTCAGTATTCTTCCAACTGTTTTGACTGGGACTCGGTTAAAAATAGATCTTATGTCAGAATACAGCCAACATACCTAAATACATGAACATAAATATTTAAAACAGAAATAAATTATAGAGAACAAGAGTAACTCTCGCCACGTGCAACAGTGTCTGACATTTTCTATTGTTTCATCTAAAATGTTGCTTAAGACTCACTGAACTAATCCCCCCCACACACACACAAAAAACACTAATGCAGTCTAACATCTCTGCATATTAGAGATAAAGAAACTGAGACCCAAGGAAATAAAGGGTCTTGTCCTAGGTCACCAAGAGTGATAAATGAACAAGCCAGAACTTGACCATTCTGACTCCCTGCCCAAAGCTGTTTTCAACTCAAAGTGAAACAAACATTCTAAATACTCCCCTCAGATAGGACTGGGGATCTGAAGCCTAAAACATGCTGCTACACTGAGAAAACAGGAGTATTTTGATTCTAAACAATGGTGAATACTGACCTCAGCCTGAACCTCCAATTTAGGCAGGTTTAATTTTTTCTGACTCAAGTGCACGGCCTAGCATGACTTGGCAAATAAGCAATTTTTTATTTTTCTTTTCATTAACCCTTTCTCCAGCCACTGCAAATAACACAGGAAAAGCCTCTGTTCTTCTCAGAGTTAGTTTTACTTTGATTACACATGCACAGGCATTGTTTGTCCATGAGAGACTGGCTGGCTTAGACACAGGAGTGAATAGTTCCTCTCTGCATTTACCAGGCTCATGGACAGCTGTTTTCTTCCCCACTAAGGCTGCTTAATTAAAATTTAAAACATCAAAACCACATAGGTCAATACGTGGACGTGAATGATCCAGAGCCTATGAGATATTAATGCTACTAACACTAGCAACCCCGGGCACTTTTAAAGCCTCAATTATAGGAAGTGGGATTGCTTAAGAACCTTCATTACAAACAGTATGGTAGCTTAAAATGTCAGTCTATCCACTAGCACCTGGTTGTGTGGGGTTTGTTTTTGTTATTTTGTTTTATATTCCTTCTTCTTATTGTGTGTGTCTGTATGGTCGGTCTGTCTGTATGGTCGGTCTGTCTGTCTGCGGATGCTGTTACAAGGTGGGAATCCTGTAACAAGCCACAAACAGAGGCAGACTCCTGGGAACTGAAGGCCAAGCCCGGAGGTCCAGTGCACAAGAAGGCATGGACCCTGGGCTATGGCAATGATCTCCCAGAAAACCTAACCCAGGCCCGGGAGGGTCGTGAGACGCACTCGCGGCGAAGGAACAGCATGTGACCTGCCCTGGGCGCTGCGTGCTTCCTAGGGCACCCGCAAGCCCCCAAAGCCCAAGGGCAAAGCGCTGGGGCCTCCTTAAATCAGAGCGCGCCAGCAGAGGGTGGGGTGCCAACTGCTGCGCAGCAGCTCCTGGGAGAGATACAGACAGCAGGCGGGATGAAGGGCGGGCTGGCGAACCCTAAAATTAGTGCTCCGGAAGCAGGGGCAGTGCACCGCGGCTCGGAGATGGCGGCCACCGGAGCGCCGTCCCCAAGGCGCGCAGTCCCTCTGAGCCTTCCAAGCGCATGAGGACCAGGAGGGCGACCAATGCAGAAGGCAGGAAGAAGGAAGGAAGAACACGGGACCACGTGTAGCCTCCTGAGACCCAGGGGTCCATTGCTCCTCCCCCAACTGCGGCAGAAAATTTAAGAGCTTCAGAATTTAAAACCCCAGAATGCTCCAGAATTCTTGTCGTTGAACTTGAAATTTGGTTACCTCGTTTTCAATGAGATCTTTCCTTTCCTGAGTTTTCATTTAAACACGTTTCTCTCTTCCCCCATTCCTCAAACAGAATGATGTTGCTATTTGGTTTGAGGGGTCTGGGGGTTGTTTCTGTTTCTGTTTGGGGGGGGTTCCTTGTCAGGTCGGGGTGGTGGGAAGGTTGGGGGGTGGAGTTTGCATTTATCTTAGCAAGATAAACAGTTCTGAAGGTCAGATGGCTCCCCACTGGGCCCTCTGAAAAGATTAATGTACGATGAGGGATTCTCCATCAATGTTTTTTCTTGAAAATCCAAATTGTTTAAGTCCCAACTATTTTAGATATTCCAATAATGCATTGAAAACCTACCTTTTAATGATTAACTATTATGAACACCCCAAAATACAATTATCAAGATTCTGAAAGCTATTATAAGGAAATCTGTGAAATGGAAATATGTGCTAGCCAAGATCAAATACAGAATTTAAAAAAAAACTGTAGTTATATTTAGGACTACAAAAATGGTAAATTGAATGACACAATATTTGGAAACCAAAAGTCATTTAAGACAGACACACTTATTATATAACTAGAATTTTTGAACAATATATGCATAGTAATGTTAAATCAGCCAGTAATACAACTTAAACATATTCACGGAGTGACATCTCATCCCTAGCATCTTTTAGCCTCCCCTCTGCAGTTGGCCCCTTACCTTTATTTTCAGAATCTTTCATTCTCTGCTTCCTCCCTCTGCTGCCAATAAGCAGAAAAGTCCAGCTGATTCTGCAACCCTGACTTTTGATTTGTCATTCACAGACAGTCAGCGGTCTCGGGGGCGAAGTCCCTCAGCGGAGGAGCACTCAGGCTATGATAATTGCATGCAAGTCGATGTGCGGGGTTATAATTTTGCTTATGCTAGAGCGGAAAGGATGGGGATGAAGGCAGACGTAAACACAACTTCCAAAACATGGCGTGGAACCGGATCCGGAGCCAGACTTGCCTTTCCTTCCCTCAGGGTAAGGAACCAATTGTTTAGCGCCTCCTTGCCTCAGGAGAGATTTGGTTCTCACGGAAAGGGCAATGTCTATGCCTTGTGCTGGGCTTCTTTTCAAACAGTAACTGCATTTTTTTAAAGGGGATTAGGAGCCCTGTGTTTTGTTTCCTCTTACATATTCATACATTGCTTCATTCATCTCTTCAACAACTTTTTTTACTCCTCAGTGGTTCAAGAACCATGCTAGGTAATGAGGATACAACAGTGCACTGAGACCGGTGCCCAGTACTCACAAGTGTTCCCAGCTGTTCTGAAACAAACGCATAGGGTGCAATACAAGGGTCTGGTGCATGGACACAGATTACTGAATTCATTCCCCTCAGGTGTAAGTAGACAGTCAAGGAGGCTTTGGTTGTAAGCCATTGGATGGCTCAGCCAGGAATAGGTATGAGGAAGCCATACCAAGAGATCCCTCAGTGGAAGGGCAAGGAAATTTCAGGCAAATCTTCCCATATTCAATTCAAGCTTACTTCATATCCTTATGCAACTTGGAATCATTAATTCACTCTTTGATCATTCACTCAACAATTGATTATTTGTGCCAGGCACTATTCTACCTGTTAGGGTCCGAGTACAAAAACAAACCAAATGCCTACTCCCATGACTATTACATTCTGGTAGGAGGATTCAGACATGCAATGGGCGAACACAGTCATATAATAAATGGTAGTAAATGCTGTAAAGAAAAATGAAGCATGGTAATCAGGTTACAGAGGTGCCATTTTAGATAAGGAAGCCAAGTGAGGTAACATTTAATTTATGGAAAATAGGTCAGGATCATCAGTCTTCCAAACATCTTCACTCAGAATTCTTTTTATTGTTTTTGTTGTATTTGTTTGTTTAAGTTCTGAACCCTCACAACTTCCTCTGCTCCATATGCCCTCACTGATAGCTCGTGTTTGTTCTCCATTTTTCAAATTGGTAAACTGATACTCATAAGGATTAACTGACCCAATCTAAGACCTAACTAAGCTGGGAGAAAAGCAACAAAAAGAAATATATCTATCTGTTGCTTTCATCCACAGAATTGCTGGGTTAAATACAATATGGACACAGAAAATTTCCTGGACTAGGAGTCAAGAGAAGAGGTTGAAGACCTCTCTCTGCCTACCAATTATTAACTGAGTGTGTAAGGCAGATGATTTAGCCTCTCTACCATCAGTTTCCTCGTGTGTAAAATGGGCTAATCATACCTGCCCTGGATATATACCAGGCTGTTTGCAAGATCAAAAGAGAGAACAGATGCAGTACTTTGTAAACTAAGCACTCTATAAATGCAAGGTATAATTACCAACTGCTTGGGCACATTTAAGAGGACTAATTGCCAGTGTTTAGCTACTTATTATGCAGCCAAGAGTCAAAGAAGGCTATGGAGTCAAAGACTTCATGACCACTAGAGCTCCCTGGGGGTGATTTCTAGCTGCTAAAATTTGAAGACTCCCTGAAAGTTTGGAAAATTTTAAGGTTGTTTTTGTTTTCTTTTGTGTTTTGTTTTTCTGGTTTCCATCTTTCCTTGACAGTAATGCATTTTTGCTCTTGTTTGACAACTTAAGACCAATCAGGAATATGCTGCTATAATTTTGATGTTGAGTATCCCCCAATGTGTCTTTGGCTTTGTCCCCAAAGTGGTGATATTTGGAAGGTGGTAGAACCTTTAAGACTTGGAACCTAGAGGGAGATCTTTAAGTCACTGGGGGGTATAACTTCAAAGGGCACCGTGGGACCCCAACCCTTTGTCTTTTTCTTTGCTTCCTAGTCATGAAGCAGACAGTTTTGCTCTACCACATGCACCTGCCATGATGTGCTGCCTCACTACAAGCCCCAAAAATAAAGCCAGTCATGGACTGGAACCATGAGCTAAAAATAAACATTTTTTTCTTTATAAGTCATCTCGGGGATTTTGTTACAGTGATAGAAAGCTGCCTAATACACGTGCCTTCCTTTATAACTCCTCAGTGGCCACTGAATGAGGCACTGGCCCATACATCACATCAAAGAAACAGGCATCTCTGCCTTCAAAGGCTAAGTTCAGAACAGTCAAAAAGTTTCCAGTAGAAGCACATTTCAGAGCTGAGAGGCTGAGGAATTCATGCACCATTTCATTCAATAGTATTCTTAGTGCCAGGTACTGCTCTGAACAATTAAGAATGACACAGAGCCAAAAAAAAAAAAAAATTCTCTGTCCTCAGAAGCTTGTGGTCTCAGGTCAAGAAGTTTCCACAAGGTATGCTAACTTACTGAGTTAGGCAAAGGGACGTCCAGACCTGGGCGGAATAGTGGAGCAAGGGCTCTGGAAAAAAAAAAAAAAAAAAAGGCTAGCGGGCTCTGCCATTTACTGACCGATAAGGATAGTTGGGACAAATTCTTGCACCTCTCCAAGTTTCCATTCCTGATCTGTAAGATGAAGATTAAAATGGTACATATCCCCTAGGGACAGTAGAGGTTCAAATGAGTTAAAACATGTAAAGTATGTGGCAAGAAGTTTGACGCACAAAGTAGGGCTCCATAATTATTGTAAGATTGTTACCTTTGACCTGGGTCAAGTTTAGCCCTCTGAGTCTCAGTCTCCTCATAAAATATGAAAAATAATAATTAGTTTGTATGGTTATTATGAGAGGATATACATATCAAAGGGATATAAAGCCCTTGGCATAAAGGAGTAGCTGACCACTGACCTGTCTCACTCTAGGCCCCTTTTCATCAAGCAAGCTGCTCAGGGTGCAAGTGGGGAAATGAAGACTGGGAGTAGTAAGAAAGTGGGAGAAGAGAAGGAAGGCTGCCATTTTGTACTTCAAAAGAAATAACTATTTTTTTTTTAAGTGTGGTCATTGCTAGGAGTACCTGCATCTTACCCAACACTGTAATTTGGAAATTTTCAAATATTCAGAAAAGTCAAAAGAATTGTACAGTGAGCTCCATGTTCAGGTTCATTTTGGTATATTTGGTACATGTGTCTATTAATCCTTGATTTTTTTTTAATATTAAGTCGAGAGGCCAGGGTTGTGGCTCAGTGGTGGGAGTGTTTGCCTAGCATGAACATGAGGCACAGGGTTCAATCCCTGGTATTACATAAAAATACACAAATAAATATTGTGTCCATCTACAGCTAAAAAAAACAAAAGAAATTTTAAAAATATTAAGTTGAAGCATTGTGAAGGTCTCATTAAATAAAAAGCCTTTGTGTCCTCTCCTGACACCATATGAAAGCTTTAGTCCCCTGATTCCCTGGCCATTCCTTCCAGCATCAGATGAATGCTCACAAGTCTTGCACTGCCCCACAGTAATCCCCGAGGCCACACCTCATGGAGGGACAATAATGGTCTTAAACTTTGAAGTTTTCCACAACAAAGCAACTCTCTGGCAGACCCCAACCTTCAAATAAATTGGAATAATGAAACCAAGGACCACTGTAAGCAGGCACTGCTTGGCTTGATGTTCTGTCTCAATAACTGCATTGAGAGAAGGATTCAGGCAGGCTCCACTGGCCACTAAGTCCCTCCGCAGCTCTGCACATTCCTTCTCTTGTTAGATGCCACTCCTGAGTCACTAGACTGGTGAGTCATGCCCAGTAGGCGAGGCCATCTTGAGAGCAGATCGAAGAAGAGAATTTTCAAGAACAACAGAGTGAGACTCTGAACTGAAAGGGAATAAGGATTCTTATTGTCCTGCTGTAATATTGGGGGTTAAATTTCTAAGCTGCAAGTTTTACTCTGAAGAAAGACAGGCACAGAAAAAATAAAATTAAATTAAAAACACTTCTATAATTCCTTTGAAACTTTTGTGGCACTTTTATTTCTTGCTTAGTGAACAGGTAAGCAAAGAGAAACCCAGAAGATACATCCCTCATTAGACAGACCAAATGTCTTTCTGATGAGGCTCGAGCCTCTTCTAGCTTCATCATTCATTCCCTAAACATGCCAGGGTGAGGTGAAGGAGAGTGGCTTCCCCTCCTTCATTACACCTGCTCTTCCTCAGTCCAGCCAGGGCTTTGGTTTGCTCAGAGCACCTAAATGACCATAAAGAAGCGAGGCAAAGAGAAAAAAAACTGCTGATGTGTTGGGGGTGGGGTGGAGGTGTATGATTAGGGAATTAGCACAGAAGAGAGCAACACCACTATAAGAAAAGCTGGTTAGGGCTGGGGTTATAGCTCAGTGGTAGAGCCCTTGCCTAACACATGGGTTCAATCCTTAGCACCACATAAAAATAAATAAATAAATAAATAAAATAAAGGTGTTGTGTCCATCTCCAACTAAAACAATTATTGAAAGAAAGAAAGAGTCAGTCAGTCAGACCAGTTAAAGTCCTGTGACCTCAAACTACCAGGCAAGGGGAAGGAAAGTGATATATGAAGTACTTCCTACCTGCCAAGTGATTTTCTATTGCCATTGTCATACATTTATCAAGAACTTATCGGTCAAAGAGTATCTTTAAAGATGCTCACAGCAGGCTACCTGGATTTGAATTCCAGGGTACTAGCTGTGTAACTTTGGAAATAAAATAAAGGTTCTCTCTGCTCTACCTTTCCTCATTTATAAAGTAGGGATTACTGTAAGAATAAAAAATAAAATAAAAACATGCACTGTTTCAGACTGTGGCTGTCCTACAATAAGAGTGCAAACAAGTTAACTCTTTCCTGTCCCAGTTTTCTAGATGACAAAAAAAAAAAAATGAAGTAAAAAGAGTCAAGGTCACTTGCCAAGACCAGGGAGGGGAGGGAAATCATCCTATTATTTTCCTTTTATTGGTGAGAGCTTGGGAGCCCAGGAGGGTCTGATAACACATTCAGTACACAGTTAGCAAACGGAAGAAACTGAGTTAACCCCACATTTGCTGGCTTGAAAGCCCTTGCTCATTCCACAGGTCACAGGTTCTCAAACTTCCATGTGCATCAGAATCACTTGTC